GGGCTGTGCTGGGCCCGGGGCTGGGCAGGGCAGGGCAGGGGCTGAAGCCGAGCTGGACAGGGGCTCCGTAAGCCGGGCAGGGGCTGAGCCCCAGGAATTCCTTGCTGGAACCCCACCACAGGCCAAGGGAGCAGAGTGGAAAGGTGCTCATCATTCTATTATTGATTATTGGGGGACTAAGGTGAACAGCTTCCCAGTCCGTCGTCGTACAGGGAGCATTGAAAACACAGCATCTCAGTAAAAGCCCCTTCCCCCGCACCCCTCCGCACTCCACCCCCGCACCCCCCTCTTTCTGGAGGGCTCCTGTCTGAGCCAGCATGCAAGGGTAAGGCAGGCTGTCACTCCGACGTTCCAACTCGTCGGAGAGGAGGCTCGCGTGAACCTGTTTTTAATGTGTCACATCACAAAGTCACTTCCCGGCAATAAGGTGTGAAGGGGTTACAGCCTCCCGCAGGTCCTCCAGGAGGCCGCGCAGCTGGAGTGACAGGCCCGCTCACGCGCAGCCAGGCGGTGGGCCTGGGCGTCTAGTGCCCTAGCCCGCAATTTGTCACCTAGGAAGCCTCTATGATGGATTTTACCTCTGTCGTGGTCACTGTTAAGATGCCTGGCGTTCGGAGGGCACCTCATAGTTCACTGTGTCCCTTCCCGCCTGTCCCCGAAAGCCTGGCTTTGTGAGGGGTGCCCTTGGCCTTCCCGAATGTTGGGGGTCATGCAACCTTCCTCCTGAGCCCCTGCCAGGACGTTATGTTACCTGGTCCTGCGGGGTCTCACACACTTGGAGCATGTTCTGGCCGTTACGGTCAGAAACACCTTAGATCTGTCCCAGAGTAGAACTCCAACATCAGCCACCAGCTTGTGGGGAGTGAGCTTTGTCCTAGACCCACTGAAAGAGACAGGTAGACAGAGCCCACCATTGCTGATGGCCTGTTCCAGCTCAGGCACTGAGCTACCTGTTCACATGTAACTCAGGCTCCATATCTACTAAGATGGTTCTACTGCTGTCTCCCCGAGGCTTTAAGTGACGGCTTGGCTCGCCCAGAGCTGAGCCGGAGCCGCCAACCTGGGTATGTGCACACCGGAGACTGGCCACGCCCACAGGTTGGACGTCCTCCCGTGGACACGAAAGGGAGGGGTCGGCCCTCATTAGCCTCACCTCGGGATGCACAGGACCCAGGACACTTAAATCCCGTCCTGTAGCCGGAAGTGACCCCCTCCCTCCATGGACTGTCCAGAGGTGGCTCTCCGGGGCCACTCCCGGCTGCCCGCTGACACCTCAGAGTCGCCTTTCAAGCCTGACCAGGGCCGGGGGTCCCGGAGAGGACCTGGACAGAAGCAGAGGTCATCGCCCCTGGTCCCAAGGTGCGGGCGAAGGCAGCTGCGCCGGGATGAAAGATCCATTCTGAGCACGTAGCATATAAGTCTTCAGAGACTAAAACATGACTCTCGGTTCCATCTGCGCCAAAATTATAAGTGCTTTGTATTTTAACCCCAAATGACTGGATTTGGGGGAAAAGTGGGTGAATGGAATTTAAAGCGGGCAAAAGATTAAAATTTGAAATTTCAAATTCGCATTTAAATGTCTGGCTTTTTTAAGGACAAGAACCGAATGTGGTACTTTGTGGAACGGTAGCTCAAGGCTCAGACGCCATCGTGGCTGAATGACGATCTGCTGAACGGTGACCATCACCTGGCTTTGTCTAAGGGGGCGAATTTATGAGGCTGACATTTTAAGAAGTCAAAGTTTTAGCTCATTTCAAAACCAGCGGAACGTATCGAAGACTGTGTTGCCTTCTGGTGGCAGTCCATCCAGACCGAGGTCTGACTTTGAAGTAGCGTTGACCTTTTAAAAGTCTCTGGAAAATGCAAGGCGGAGATGCTGGGGGGCAGCGCAGAGCCAGATCTTTCCCCTTTAATTGATGCCGTTTAAAAACGTTACGCAAAGAGCAGAAGATTAATTGCCAATTATTTTCGCGGACCGCGGTAAGGACACATGGCGACGGAAGAGGGGAGGGAACTGTCGCCGCGGGGAGAGAAACCCAGAAGGCCCGACGCACTTCTGGAAAGCGGTCGGCCCGCGGAGAGCGAAGCCGCGCGAATTGGTCAAGCAGCGGCCGCAGCAGCAGTGGAAGTGCCAAGCGCCACCGCTCTGGCGACACGTCCGGCTCGTGGCGGCCGCTGGCGCTGGCGGTGGCGGTGGCGGTGGCGCTGGCGCTGGCGTCGGTGGCGGGAGCGGGGTCCTCTTGCGTCCGGGCGGTTGGTGGGCGTGTGGTCGGTTCTGCTCTAGGGGGAGCGTCTGGGCCGTGCTTATCGAGAACGCTTTGCCCGGGCCCCGGAACACGCCTTCTGGAAACAAACAGAAACGAGGACACCGGGGAGTCAGCGGCATTTACGTAACTAACTCCATTTACGTAACTCCATTTACGTAACTCGCATCGCAGTGTGACGTACGATGGGAAACTGGGAGCCACGCACTTTCGTAGGAGCCGCGCCACGCGGAACGAAACCTAGTCACCCAGAGAGTGAATACCCCAGGGACCCAGAAAGTGTTTCCGAGGCCGTTGGAAGACAGAGGTAATCAAGCGTGGGGACGTGGTGAGGAAAATGGGATAGAAAATGGTATAAACAGAACAGTTATAAATTTGCAAAAAACATCTATTTCTTTCTCTCATCCATCCATCATCTCTATCTAATCTACCTATCATCTATAATCTATCATCTATATCATCATAGTGATACGTCTATTATCATCTATAATCTATCATCTATATCATCATAGTCCGTGAGTTTTAATGGGTAGTTTAAAAAGATTTACTATCTCATATGTTCCAAACTTAGCTGAAGCTACGTGCTGCTTTTATAATCACAAAGAGTAGAATGAGGGTCCCACCGAGGAGCCGTCCGCCCCTTCGCGGGCGCGGGGGCAGCATTGTTCGCGAACGGAGCGCGCCAGGCCGGCGGCTGACCCAGCGTCCTCCCCTGACAGGCAGCTGGCACGGTCCCCGCGTGGGTGGCATCTCCCAGGATGCACGCGGGGGTGACGGGCAGGTCCCCCGCCCGCCACCAGGGTTCAGCGCCGCCTCTGAGCACAGGGGTCCCTGGAAACAGCCGGATCCGTCCCAGAGCCGCAGCCCGGGTAACGCTTCCGAGAGGCCCCACTCCGAGGGGCACTGGGTGAGGGCAGTGGCCGCCTGTGTGGAGAATCAGACCGGTGGTCATCTTCGGAGGGAGGACGACAAGCAGACGTGGCTGGCTGACTCGCGGAGCCGGCCTGTGTCGCAGGACGGTGGGGGCTGCGTTCCCTACGCGCCACGGGACTTGGGCGGGACACAGAAAACGAGCCCCTGGAGAAAGGCGACGGGCGGGGAGGAAGCGGCGCCGCCATCCAGGCCCTGGCCGCTGCCCGGCTCACTGGCTCCGGAATTCGCCCAGGTCACGAGGGCCAAATCCCCCAGGCAGTGGCCGCCCCCACCGCCGCCTGTCCCCAGGCAGGGGCTGCCATCCCCTGCCCCGTGGACAAGCGGCAAAGCAGGGGGCCTGCTCTGGCAACAGCCGGGTCCCCCTGCAGTTCGGTGGGAAACTGAACCATGAGCCAGGATGCAAACGAAGCGTGGGGCTTGGGGGAGGGATGGAGACACAATTAGAGAAAGATTGGAATCGGGTATGTTAACGTTTAACCATGCTTTTCGTCCAACAGACTGTGCCTCGGAGGACCTCCCAGGGCCCAGTCTGGGCCCCTCCAGGAGTCAGCCTGCTTCTCACGCTGCAGGGGAGGGCAGCCAGGCCCGGAGGTGGCACACGCAGCACTGACCGCCTCTGACCTCAACGGGCGGGGGTGGGGGAGCTGGGGATGCAAAGGAAGGCTCTGCCTCCCCCACCTCCCTGCCACCCCCACCAAAGTCCCACCTGGCACCTGGAGGCAACCACACACAGCTAAGCGGTGGGATTATAACAATACACACCTGAAACGTTACATTGCCATTTGAAACAAGCGGATGCCCCAACTCGCTAACCTGGTAATGCCGAGTCCAGGCCCCTCCTTCCAGCATGGTTCCCTGGCGGGGTCCGGCAGACCGTACCCCCTGCTTTATACACGACCACGTTGTTCGTGGATTTCAGTTTAAGGCTGGGTTTCTTTCAAGCGGGCCAAGGACATAGAAACACTCGCCAAAGCACCCGACTAAAAGGAATCCTTCTTGATTCCTAAGAGATTGTTCCAATCTTTTACGGTGATCTCGTCCAATAGTAACGTCATCGTAATGGTCTGAAGTCAGTTTTCTTGCTGGCGTGTCTTCCCCAAGCCTTTAACTGAGTTTTCATTTTAAAAAAATAACACTCTCTTCACATCCTTTGGATTATATTACATTTAATTAATTTACATAGTTACGATAAAATATGATTGACATAAGCACATTTTTGAAAAACTAAATATGCCTTTTCGAAAGCATGCAGGCCAGTGGTGTTGGCAGATGGACACATGTGCGAGACAGAGCCGCTTTCAGCGGGGCGGGGGGCTGGCGGGGGGTTCACAGAGGGACCGCCGAGCAAGGAGCTAGGTCTGAGAGCCGGGCGTGTGGAGGGGAGCCAAGTGTGGTGGCGGGTGGTGACCCTCCAAAGCACACGCCGAAGCCCCGTGGCTTGGAATGAGACCTTATTGGGACAGAGCCTTTAGAGAGGTGATCAGGTCAGGTGGAGGCCACTGGGGTGGGCTCGGATCCGGTAGGACTGGGCCTCCTCCAAGAAGGGGTGATGGGGCACAGAGGCAGACCTGCATGGGGGGAGAGGATGTGGTGGGCACTGGGGCCACACGTGGAGGTGGCGGATCCGAGTGGCACCTCTACAGGGGAGGGATGCCGGACGTGGCTGGGAAGTGACGTGAGCTGAGAGAGGACATGGGCTCCCCGCTCCCTCACAGCCTCAGTGGGGACCTGCCCGCAACAGGTGACCTCCACGACCCGTGACCTCCATGACCGGCCGGAGGGGGAGGGGAGGCAGTCCCGCAGTCGGGGTGCCCTGACCCGCGGGCTCCTCTCCAGCCCCGCGGGCTGGGTTCCTGGGCCTCCTCTGCGCCTTGCGGGTGCTCGTCCCCATGCGAAGATCTCACTCGGTCTGGTGGCTCCAGTAGCGCTGATACGCCAACCGCCACAGTCACCGCCCAGGTCCAGCCGCGCTCCGCAGAGCCACACGCGCACAGCTCGACACCCTTGCACGTCGTGCTGACAAGCGCCCCAGACGCGGCGTGCCAGCCCTGAGTACTTGGTTTCTCCTCCGAATCTGCTCCTCCTTAGGACTTAGGGGAGCAGCTGGGGGACACCGAGAGCCGGAGCCCAGGTGTCTGAGGCCGGCGCCCCCCAGGGGAGTCCCCCTCACTCAGGCGCGGGCTCCTGTTGCCGCCGGTTCCAACCAGCTCCTCCGCCAGCGAGGAGCCTGCCGGCCGGGGAGCCCTGCGCATGCGCGGGGACCCAGTGAGCTGGACAGCCGGGCCCGGAGCAGAGAGACGGCCTGGGTACAAAAGAGAACTAACTCCGAAAACACCTTCCCTATTCTCGGAGAAAATTCAAGACGATACTGCATCTTAAAAATGCCCTCTTGAGTCAGGACGCGGGGACCTTGGGCTAGGGAACAGTGTCCCGAGAGCTGTAAGCCCGCCGAGGCCGAGGCCGCCGGCCTCCGTGCGCTCCCCTCCGCTCGCGGCTGTGCCCTGCAGCCTCGTGCTTCGTGTCCCGACGCCATGACGCTGGCGAATCTGTGCCGAAGGGCTTCATCTGGGCGACAGAGCTGGCCGGCCAGCGGCAAGTCACAGACAGTTACCTCTCCCAGGAGCAGGCGCCTCACAGAGTCCGGTGGAACTTTTTGTCTAATTCCTCTGATTTCCACCCACCTCGAGTGGGGTGACTTGGAAGCTGTCCTTTCACACGGTGTCCCAGAGGTCCCTGCCTGCTCACTATGTCGCCTGCACGTCGGACCAGTTGTTTATCTGTCTCTCCCTCTCCGATGCCCCTGCGGGAGCTGGGACTGCCGCCTCTGCTTGATGCCTCGTCTCAGGCTGTGTATGCCCCTGGGACACCCAGCCTCGGACACCCATTAAAAGACCGTGAGCTCCGCGGAGCGGGTAGTAGGGGTGCAAATGTGTGGACACTCACTGCTCGGGCTGCCGCAGCGGCCTTCCTACCTGACGATGCCCTCCAGAGGGTACAGCTCAGCACACTGAGGAATTAAGTCCCAGGATGACAAGACTGGACTGCAGAAGCCCGGGGGCACGGACGTCCCCAGGAGGGAAGTCCTGGGGAGAAAAATAATGACCGCGGGCCATTCCCCGGATTTGATGCTGTCCTCAAAACATCAGCTCTTACAGACAAGGTAAAGCAGCGGCAAGGAAAAGAAGGCGATGAGCAGCTCTAGGAAAACCGAAAGGCCATAAATTACAGCATGCGATTCGGCCCCGCGATGAACGATGGGACACGTCCGTGACGCAAACGCCGCTCACCGGGCTTCTGAGCCGTGAATCGCTCGGACGGAAATCAGAGAACACTTAATCGGACCGCGGAATAGAGCGCGAGCGCTGTCAGACCTGACGGAGTAGACCGGAAACAGAGAGAATTTGGGCGGCGGAAGGGGCGGGGGGCGATGAACCCACGGAGCTGGGGGGGGTGGTGTGTGGCCGTCTTGCGAGGCGGGGAAACAGAGTCACTCGGTACTTGGTGGAACAGGGAGCGGAATTCGAACTGTGGGATCTAAAGGGACAAAAACAGCAACACGGAAGCTAAAAGCAGCCAGACGCGGAGAGGGACGGGTCACGGAAGTGAGCTAAAGTTACATTTCCCAGGTAGGGTGTCCGTAGATGATAACGAAAATTGATATTTCAATAAATCGTGCTATAAAGATATCATTAAGAGATATAGAGGTAAAAGGAACCAGAAAAACTAATAGCAGACACAATTCGAAGTGGCCTTTCCCAGGGAATGTGTAGCTGGCCGTGGGGCTCTGTCGCTTTTTTACTATTTGATGTAAAAGTCGACATTCAGATGTGCTGTTTTTGTAACAGTTTAAAAAAACAATTTAAATTTTGGTAACCCAGTAACCTACAAGGTAGCTTTTTCTTGCTTCCCTGTGCTGTTCATCTTAAAGCTAAATTTACTTTGTTGTTAATTGCCTGTCAGTCGGGTTTGCTCCCACCACTGACCCCCTTTCGTGATGGATAATTGAGAGCTGACTGTAAAGGGACAAGGAGCTTCAAATAACTGCCGTACAAGTGAATGACACATCATCACGACTGGAGAAGCGAATTCCCGATACAGAATATTTCCATGATGACATTTCCCCAGTGACACCCGCTTTTCAGTGACAAGGAGGCATCTAAAAGGGGAGTAAGTGGCTAACGGCGTGGTTGGTGACAGATCCTGCCCCATCCGCTGTCACTGAAAGCCCCCTGTGCTGGAGCCCGCCTGCCGTGGGGACCCTGGCTCTTCCAGCGACAACTTTACATAATTAAACCCGACCGGAGTTACTGTCATCAGGACCATGTCTCTCGAGAACCCTGTTGTAACTCGGCGTCCTGCTCCGTCTTCGCTTCTAACAAATGAGGCGCTTTCGCCAACCTACGGGGAGAGGCAAACAAAAGGCTCCGCCACCCATCGGTCCCAGAGGAGGCCGGGAGCAGGAGAGGAGAGAAGCCCTGAGCTTTCAGTTTTGTGGCATGAAACTTAATGACATGTACCAGCACCCACGTAACTTTGTAATTCCAGCGAGTGCCTTCTCCGAGGTAATTAATTGGGTGGAAACAACCATTTTTTATCACCGGTAGGACAGTGCTTGCAAAGTTACAGAGTTACTGCTGGAAAACAACTCCGAGCTCCGGTACCCCAACTCCCCCGGTCCTGAGTCAGGGCCATCGGGGCCCACGGAGGCGAAATAAATCGTCCTCCCACCCCATCTCCGTGACGGCGAACAAGTCATTTGCATTATGTCACTGCAGCTGCTCGAAACTTTATTACTTGTTTAAAAATTGCATTGTTAGGGAGTCAGGCCAGGCATATGAAAATGGTTTATGCATTTAAATTATGCCTGTCCAAGCGGCTTAGCCATCACAACTGTCGTGATGCGATGAGCGAGGGTTTTTTTCCCTGTCACATAGTGTTTCGTATAGAAACGGTGAGCGGCAAATTGGACACATCGGACAGCCAGAGAACACTTTCTCCGAGAGGCAGTGCAGCCACGTCGTGTCGCACGTAGGCCTGGCAGCCGCGCAGACGCCCCGCCGGCCGGGTGCTGGGTCTCCCGTGAGCCCATCTCATAGCCGGGTCGGGACCCGAATCAGACAGCCGTGGTCTCCGGCACCTGCGGGAGGCGAAAGTGCACGTGGACGGGTTGAGAGTTCTGCGCATGCTCGAAGAGAGCGGCAGTAGCGTCCGGCATCCTGTTACCCAGAGCGGCTGCAGGGTCGCGCGTGCCCAGCCCGTGGCCACTCGGGGGAGCTGAGGGTGACACGCGGTGGACTTGGAGACACGCGAAGACTCGGATGCCGAGTTCTTGCTAAGTGCCCGGGTGACCCCCGCGCCCCCCTCCGCCCCCGCAGCCGCTGGACGGGATGTCGGGTGGGAACCCGGCCCATCCAGGCGGAAGCTGGCGCCAGGCCGGTGGCCCTGGGCCGGGGCGTTCGCACAGCGCGCGGACCACGCGCGAGGCGCTCCGGTGAGGACGGGGCTTCGCGGCTCCGCCCCTTCTCCCGGGAGCAGAACAGGACTGACCCTGTCGGAGGAAGGGCTGGAGATGAGTCTGCGTGCGCCCTTGGAGGTCGCCTCCTGCTCCCGCAAGACACGCACACGGGCGGGCAGCAGAGGCCCCTCCCGCTGCGGTGTGCACGGTCAACGCAAAGGCTGTGACGCCAGCGCCACCCAGAAAAGGTTCCTTTACTGTCTCACTGTTTAAAAGAATGATCGCTTTCTACGTTTTTATTAAGGAAGGAATACGTGCTCATTATAGAACATTGAGAAAACACAGAAGTTACTGAAACCAACATGTTTGAGAAACATCTGCCTCCAGTGTCCCTTTGGCTCATCCTAGTAAGAGCTTAGCGTCCAGGTTCGGAAGGCGTCATGAGACGTCCTGCTACCCGGACTCTGCCCCGACGTCCGTGCTCCCTAAAAGCTTGAAATAACTCAACGGGGAAACGTTCACATGGCGTGTTTCTCTTTCTGGGTAATGAGAGCACTTAAACATTTACATCTGCTTTGAATTCACCTTTCGCTGAATGCACCTTTCTACGTGTGCGATTCTCATTTTACTTCTTAAATTAGTCTTTAATCGAAATCATTATTTTCTCTTTGAATAATGATTGAAGACTTGGTTC